CTGTCCTTGCTGCCTTGGGCTCTCTGTGCTGGGCAGCCTCCACTGAGGCCGCTCGTGGGCTCTCTGGTCGGCTAAGGACAACGCACAAGGGATGGATGGGGGATGTCCTGTAGACTCCAGCTTTGCTGATCTTGAGGTGCTTGAGTGTCCCATTTGTGAGAGGGAAAGATGGTCACAGAGGCGCTTGGTAAAGATAGGTCACCTTTACCAAAGGAGTGGAGCTGGCCACTGGGGGAGCACTAAGAACGTGTGGCCCATTTGCCAGGTCTCAGTGTTACAGGCCTCCTCACCAGGATCACCCCCAGAAGTGCTTGGGTCCCTCTTCTCATCCCTGCCTATAGCATCTGGACTCTTCCCCCGTGGCAGCGCTCCCCCTACTTGGAAACTGTGGCTTTTCTTGCAGGCTTCCTCTGTCCCCTGAGTCTCACTCAGCTCTGTGAGGAAACGACAGTCCTTCCTTACCAGTGCCAGGAACATCAAGTTGACACTTCCTTAATAACGAGGTGGAATGAATGAATGGATATTTGCCATGAGGGCAGCACCTCATTAAAATTTTAAGTGTTAGCAAAGCAATATGCACGCTGCGTGGAAAATTCCACTACTACAAAATCAGTATAAGGAAGAAAGATTCAAAGCAAACCACCGACCCTGCCCACACTTCTGTGCCCCCACCCTGCTTTTAAGGGTACGCTCATTTCTTGTTTCTTTGGTTCCCTTTCCCATGTCGTCATGCCTGTGATCCTCCTTCCTATCTTGCTTCATGGACTCTGCACACCTTGCTTTCCCACTAGGTAGTCTGAGGCTATGGAGGGTTCCTGCCCTTGCCACATACCCTGCCTTCATTTCAAAGCCTTTGTCACTATTTCCTTGTCAGGACTCTTAACATTTGCACTGTGTTAATGTGGTCAGTAAATCTTAACTTTTTTGGGGGAGGTGCTAACTTTAAAGTTGAAAAAGCCCTAAAGTGGGTTTCAGTGGTTACCAGGATGGCAGCTCCTTCTCTTTGAGCCTGAGGTCGCCATCCCAGGGCCTCGAGAAGAGGCCGCTTGGAGCATCAAGAGTACATCGACTTTTTTTGTCTTTGTTAAATGTTTATTTTAAGACTTTTTATTAGTGTATATTTGCAGTACACTTGCATATACTCATCATGAGGAGTTGGTATATGTACATAACACATCACAGCTCTGTTTTACTTCTCCATCTTTTCTTATATAATCATCAGTTGTAGAGAAACCACGGTCTCTTTTTGTTTGTTTCCTGTTTGGAATGTGGTTTTCCTTTTTCTTTTTTAAATTAAAAAACCCTTTTATTATATAACAAGAGCAACATATGTGCACTGCTGAAAGTTAGAAAATATAACCTGAGCCTGGGAAAGGTGCCTGGGAGGAAAAGATGGAGAACGGATGGTAAACAGGTGCAGGGATATAGTTGGATGGGAGGAATCACTTCTAATGTTCCCTAGCACAGTGGGATAACTATGGTAGACAACAGTTGTATATTTCAAAAATGGCTAATAAGATTTTAAATATTCCCAACATAAAGAAATTACATGTCTGAGGTCACCTGATCTGACCATTACACATTGTACACATGTTTTGAAATGCCACATTATACCCCATAAACACATATAATTACTATGTGTTGATTATAAATATATTGAAAAGAAAGTTAGAAAAATATTTGTAAGCAGGAATTTCTCCAGTTGTGCTTGACAGATCCAGCGGTTCTTGTATCTTACCTGGTTGTTAAGATTATTTTACCCATGATGCCAACTTATTGAAAAGGCTGGGCTGGTTGTGCTGCAAAATGTTCTACCTTCTGGATTTGTGTAGTAGTTCCCTTTGTGGTGATGTTTAGCTTGTTCCTCCATCCTCACATTTTTTACAAACTGAAAATTAGATCTAAAGTCTTACAAGCTTTAAAATATTTGGTAGAATATATCCTAGGTCATGTGTATTTCTTTTTTTTTTTTTTGGTTTTTCTCCGGCACCGGGAACCGAACTCACGACCTTGCACTTGCCAGGCAGGTGCTTTTGCCGCTGAGCTAAGTCCCCAGCCCCAGGTCATGTGTATTTCTTATTACACTTTGTAAACACATAAACAATATGTAGTTGACCTAATCAATGACACTAGATTGACTGCTGGGTTACATTCTCCTCTTTGAACTGGAAAATAACCTGCATGATGTTATTTTGGTACCAGATGAAATCAGTGTGACTTCTATCCATGGTTTATGTCTTTCTTGAAATATTTGCCTTTCTTTTCTCTTGTTGAAAAAAGAAATATTTACCTTCATCATATCTCTAAGAGTTTTAAGCATTCTATTGATTTATGTGTGGAGATGAACCATTCCATTCTTCCTGTGGATGTTCTCAGAACCACAGACTTTGAGGTCTAATTTCTACTAAATGCTTCCTAGACTTGCTATCCAGTGTATCCTGGGCTTTCTTTTAATGACACTTTGGGGTCAGCTCCACCTTCTAAAAATATCCCATTGCATCATTTTATTCTCTGTATTGGTTTGTTCTCTCTGTCTCTTTCTTTTTTTCCTTTTCTCATATATTTTTCCCATTTCTGAGTCTTTGAATGTCTGAAAAGGACTCTTTTCCTTTTCTATTTGTTTAGTAGTTTGGGAATAGAGACCTATGTTTCTATGGAATGCAAGTAAGAGGAAGTCAGTGATGCAATTTGGCTAAGCCTCAGTTTTCCCCTGAGAGGTGGGGATGGTGATACCTGTGCCAGCCTGGGCTCCCCAGATGGCTGTCTCCAAGCAGGTTGGCAGGAAGTGTCTGAGTGAGTGCTCTTGGGCTCACAGTGTGTGGGTGGAGTGCAGGCACAGGCTTGGGTGGCAAAGCAGTCACAGGATGCCGCAGTTGATCCTGAACGAGCCTTAGAGCTGGAGTGATACAGCAGAGAGGCCCCAAGTTGACTCAAGGGTACGGGGTCTTTTTTCCTTTCTTCAAATCGAGGAGACTCCTGACAAGACTGGCTGGCTGCTGGCACTCCCAGCAGGTGGGGACGAGCTCTTTGATCTTGTAGAAATAGAGTCCCAGCAATGCAGCCAGTGCCTGAGCCACTCAGAGGACCTACCAGAGTAGGACCCCAGGAAGTGGCAATTTAAAAGAGGGAGGCTGTGTTTGTTTCCTGAGAGTTGTTTAGCTTTATGGGCCTGTTATAAATATTTCAAAATACAGTCAGCTCTCCAAATCCATGGAATCTGTATCCATAGATTGAACCAGCCATGGTGGGGGGAAAAGAAGAAGACCATAGAAAGTTTCAAAAACCAGAAAGAAAGGCTTAAACTTGTCATGCACTGAGCACACACCAAACCCGTGTGCATGCAGTGTGGTGTAGCACACCCTGCTGCAGCCTCTGTATTGCACAGAGCTCCAGCTGTCTCCAGCAGTGCTTGAGCACTGCCCACCTCCCACGTTGTTCATGGACTTGGTATTTAGGCCCATGATGGCTGTGTCTGTGCTGAATATGCACAGCCTCTTTTCTTCTCATTATCCCCTGAATAACGCAATGGAATAACTATTTATATCATATATACATTGTATTAGGTATTATAAGTAACCTAGAGATGGTTTCAAGAATGCAGATGCTTTGCCATTTTATATAAGGGACTTGAGCAGCTGTAGATTTTGGTATCCACAAGGGTCCTACAACCCAAACCCCTCAGATACCCCAGGGCCTTTGCACTGAGTTATATCTCCACCCCCTTTTCTTTATATTGAGACAGGGTCTCATTAAGTCACTGAGTTGTCCAGGTTGGACTCAAACTTGCACTCTTCCTGCCTCAGCCTTCTGGAGTGCTGGGACTGCAAACGAGTGCCACTGTGTCTGTCTAATGATGCCAGAGGATCTTGGGATGAGAATCAAGCCAGCCTACCAGAGGATGCCAGAGGATCCATCTGGCTTCATGGTGGGCGTGTGGATGAGGCGGTGCCTCCTGGCTTTGCACTTTACTTTGCTACCCTTGTTGTTTTAGAAGGGCAGCTCCTATTTCTCACAGCAGCTCTCTGGGGCAAACACCATGACTTATTTCCACGTTACAGATGAATAAACTGAGGCACAGAGTAATGTTCTCAGCCCACAACTGGGAAGGGGTGGAGTTGGGGTTGGAGCTCAAGCTGTATCCCTGGGCCAATGCCGTCAGTGACTTACGTGTTCATGGACCTGATTAGTTATTTGAAATGAGTGGCAGTATAAGCAGGTGTTTATGAGTTTTACCTGGAGATGAGACTGAGTGCAGGGACCAGAAACCTAAGCAGGGTTGAGCATGCTACCACGAATTTGTTACGGGGCTCCCAGGCACCTCGCGAGGCCAGGTTCAGGAGGCACAGCTGAGTCCCCTGGTTTTGCCTCTTCTGCCCAGCACACACCCACTCTGTCCTTCATCACTGCCGCGTGCCCTTCCTGTCTATCCTCATCTCTGGCTTCTGTCTGAATACCAGCTATTTCCACATCTGTACCTGCACACACAGGCTCCGTCCACTCTGCTGCTAGCCACAGCCCTCCTGACCCTGTTGCAGGCAGGGGCCTGAAGCACATGGCATCCCTGGGTTGCCCAAGAGTCTGGGAGGGAGCTGAGAGAGAGAGTTCTCCAAAGCCAACTGGACAGAGCCCTGGGAGGCAGCATCCTTAAGATTAAGGCCCAACTCCCTTGCCATGTAGATTTTATCCCCCCGCTATGGATGAGGAACTGAGGCTCAGGGAGCAGGGTGTGTCTAGCTGTGGAGGCTGGGCCTCTTCTACCACCCACTGTGGCTTTCAGCTCTTGTCACTGGAAGCAGCCTACTTGGCTTTAGCTGGTGATGGGGCAGAACAGACACACAGCTCAGGGCAGCACATCACTCCTGGGGCTTGGGGTCTCCTCAGGCCCTTGGTGCTGCAGGCGAGCCTGGCATCCAGACCATCAGGGTGTGCTGGGTCTCCTTGGAGGGGTCCAACCCCCGCTAGGGGTCACTAACTTGCCCCTTCGTTTTTCTCTCCTGAAGCCGAGTGTTCAAGACAGACATGGAGCTGGAGGTTTTGCGCTACACCAATCGTATCTCCAGTGAGGCCCACAGGGAGGTGAGTTGTCGCTGGCGGTGGCTGGGCAGGCAGCATTGCTGCATGTGGGGCACGAGAATGGCATGGGAATGAGTGGGCAAGGCTGGAGCACGTGAGAGGGAGGGCCATGTGAGAGGCAGAAGTTGCACACATGACAGCTTTTTCCTAATGGGCACAGGGCAGGGACAGGAGAGGCTTGGCCCTTGCTGTTCACTTTAAGGCACCTCACCTTCATGAGAGTAGCAGACACTAATCCTCAAGGACTTTGCCTTCCAAGGGTCCCTAGTTCCAGGAGTGTAGGGCTCTCCTTTCTGATATCTTGGCAGTTTCTAGCTCCTTTTAAAGCACGCTTTGTCCTTAATTAATCCCAGCACACTTATTACCACCATCGGTTTTCTGAATACATCTTCTCATGAGTTTTTCTAAATCACTCACTTTACAGAGGAATGAAGCCAAATAAGGAAGTTTACTTTTTAATGCCAGTGTGGTGCCTGAGATAGCTCAGTTCCTGGGATAGCCCAATGCCTGTTCTGGAACCTTCAGGGCTTTGTATTAGGAAATAGACAAAGGTGACTGATGGCTGTGTAATTTCTTCTATGAGTTAATTTTCTGTTGAATAAAAGTCAGGCAAAGGAAACCTTTAGAAATAGTCGTGACCACTTTCTTAGCATTGGGTGTTTACCAGACACATCTTGGTCAAATCTTCGCAGTGCCCACCCAGCCTGCCTGCTGCCTTTAAGCTGTAGCTCAGAGCTTGGCGTTTATCGGCTTCCAAATGGAAGTGCTCCATAGTGGTTTAAATAAACTGTAGATTCTGGAGCATTTAAAAGCTCCAATTTGTCACATTTCTGTACCACAGTGTGCACATATCATTCCCCCTTTTTTCTTTAAGAAGTGCTTCGTTTGCTGAAGTTCTATACATTATTTATAAGGCTGTGTTACTTATCTGCTTAATACAAATGTCTTTGCTTAATATCCGTCCTCCAGGTAATGAAGGCTATAAAAGTGGGAATGAAAGAATATGAGATGGAAAGGTAAGCTGTGTCTCTCTGGGTAAAGATTAAAATGTAAAAAACAGTGATTTATGTTCCCTGAGCAAGTAACAGAAGAGACTCCACAGTGCTGCACACAGATTGAATAGGGATTAGGGGCCAGCTTTGGGGTCCTGGGCAGAGATTATTTTTCTTCTGCCTGTGGCCACCTCCCTGGCTCTTGGCAGAGTGTTTGATGGTAATGGTCATTGATTGCTTTTCTGGGTGGTTTAGCACCCCATCATTCCAGTTTTGGACTTTGTTTCTGCAATTTGCAAGAAACTTTACCAAATAGCTGCTATTGTGAGTCTGAAAGCCACTAGTAAAACAGCTTGCCATTTTTATGTGTAAACACCACCATTATGTCTGCGGTGCTTGAAGGACTGGGTGGAAGGGGGTGTTAAGTGGATCGTAAAGAGCTCTGAAGAAATCCATTGGCCTTTGGCTCTAATTAGGCCTACAGCGAACCAGTGCACCCAGGGGTGCTGCTGCCTGAGGCTGGCCTTCCCTGGTGGGAGTGGCTGCCAGCTCAGCCTGCTCCAGGACCCAGGGGTCATCAGACTTCCACCCGCAGTGCCCCATTCCCCTATTTCTTGGATCTCGCCACTGACCACACCACCCAGAAGCTCTAGGGAGTGGACCCTGAAGAGCTGCTACTCCACCTCCTTGTGTCTGGCTTTGTAAGAGTTTGATTGCTGCCACCTCCCCACCTTGCAGGGTTCAAGTGTACCCCAGGTGCTCTCAGGGCCTGATCCATGCACAGCTGGCTCTGGGGGATGCTGGTTCTGTGTGCCCCGCTGTTACGGTACTGATGTGGTTTATCCCCAGTAGCTCACATGTTGGAAGCTTGGACCTCAGGGTAATGATGTGAGAGGTGGTGGGATCTTTAGTGAGGGCCTAGTCTTTGGGTCTTTGGGGGTCTTGCTGTGAGGATTAAGGTTGATCCTGTGGGGCCCTGAGGTAGTTTTTGTGATAAAAGCAGTGAGCCTGGCCGTATGCAGCTCTGCGGGATTCTCTCTGGAGCTGTGATCTCTTGTTCTCCTACATGACGCTGTCTACTGTTAGGCCCTCTCCAGAGACCAAACCAATGGGCTGCCTGACCTTGAATTTTCAGCCTCCAAAACTGAGCTAGACAAACTTTATAAAGTAGACTACTGCGGGTATTTTGTTACAGTAACAAAGAACAGACTCATATATTCTCCTGACCCTTCTGGCCTGCCTGCTGCATCAGTATGGGGATCAGGCCCAAAATATATGTGGGGTCATCAGCGTGTACACCAGCATCCATATGGCTGTGGCTTGGAGATGAGAGTCTTTTTTGAGTCTTCCCTGAAAGGAATTCTGATCATTGAGCCTCTGTATTTCTCCCTTCTTTCCCTGGCAGTACAAGGTTAAAATGGCCTTGCCCTGCTACTGTGGCATCTGGAGGGTCCATGTAACAAGTGTCCCTCAGAATTCCAGCTGTATCAGGCTGGGGAGGATGGGGAAAGGCCTGCAGAGCTGCCCAGCTTTTGCCCCTGTGAGGGCTACTGCAGTGTTGTCTGTGGGGTCTGGAACTCCCAGGGTCTCAGCCTCCTTGAGGAGATGGGAAGAGTATTGTGGGGTCACCGCAGGGGCTCAGATTGGCACCACCCCTGAAAGCTGTTCCCAGCTGAGGTGACTCAGTGACCCACAGCTGATGCCTCAAATAAAAATAACAAGAGATTGAAACAAGAATAGCTTGTCGCAGTGTGGAGCTCTGGCCTCTGCTGCATGCTGGCAGCCTCATGCCCTGAGCTGCAGGGGGCCCAGCTTTGAGTGGCTCCTGGAAGGGCCCTGAGCTGCCTCCTGCCATAGTGTCCCTGAGCCCAACCTCACTGCAGCCTGTGGACAGGGCCATGTGGGCTGTGGGTCGGGGGCCTTTCCAACCCCCACCCCATACCCTGCCCAGGAAATGGAGGAGGTCTTTTTTTTTTCTTTTACTGGGAAATTTCAAAATTAGAATAGTATCAGGGGTTTTTTGTTTTTTTTGTTTTTTTTTTTTTTTTAGTTTTGCTTTGCTGGAATTTTTTTTTTTGTTTGTTTGTTTGTTTGTGATGTTGGAAAGGAATTTTATTGATCAGGCTTCTTGGTTACAGACAAGTCCACTTAGACTTGCATTTTATTCGTTTTTTGTGGTGCTGGGGAGTGAACCCAGGGCCTTGTGCATGCAAGGCAAGAACTCTATCACTGAGCCACATCCTCAGCCCTGCTGGAATGTTTTAAAACTGGATCTCAGATATCATTATGTCATTTCACTTGTAAATACTTCAGCAGGTATCTCAATTGATGAGAGCATTTTCCCCTTTATATAACACCCTGCCATTATCACATCTAACCAAATTAACAATACAGCTGAGATTCAGTCAAGCATGGATTGGAAATATTTGTAAAAAAAAAAATTACAACTGTCTGAACATGTACAGACTTTTTTTCATGTCATCACTGTCTAAATCATGTGGTAGAATAGCTGTTTACTTTGTACTAGGGATTAGAAGCAACTTCAGGATGATTTGAAGTATGTGGGAGGCTGCAGATAGTTTATAGGCAAATAATGAGCCATTTTATACAAGGGAGTTCAGGATTTTTTGTTGTTGTTGTCTTTTTTTGAGACAGGGTCTCCCTCTGCAGTTCAGGCTGGCCTTGAGCTCACTTTGTAGCCCATGCTGGTCTCAAACTCGCAAGGATCCTCCTGCCTCAGCCTCCCGAGTGCTGGGATTACAGGCATGCACCACCACACCCGGCAGTTCAGCAGGATTTTGGTCTCTGCAGGAGGTCCTGAAATTAACCCCCTTTTGACACAGAAGGATGACTATAATCCCTATTACCAATATTTAGTCTATATTGGCCAAAAACTATCCTTTTGGAGTAGATATGTTCAAGCTGGGACTCAAACAAAAGCTACATGTTGCGGATGGCTGCTGTTCGAGCGGGAGTCCTTGGCGCACTGAACTCTGGGGAGAGCTTACCTTCGTCTTCCCATGGCTCCTTTCCCTGCGTCCCCATGAGGCTGCCTTTTCTGTGGACCAGGTGGCCTGAAGCTGGAGAATAGCCAGGAGAGCACCCTGGGAGGCCTGAAAGTGTGAGCGGCTGTCCCAGGCTGCTGGGTGGGCGGGTTCAGTGTGATGGGTTGGCTGTGTTCATGCTTATGCCCCTGCTGTATGCCGTGCCCGTCTGGAGGGGAAGCAGTGCCTGTCTGTGGGCCTCAGCCAGCTGGGAGCCATCAGATCCCTGGGTCCCTAGGAGGGGAGAGCTTAGACAGAGGTGGGGTGAGGGGGCAGGACGAGAATGGGTTCTGCCCCAGGGAAAATAGAGGCAGAGATGCAAGACCTAGAGATGGAGGAGCCTGTTCCTAAGGGACGGGTGAGGCAGAGTGTCACCTCCAAAGGTGGTGGGGAGATGGTTGTTCATGAATGTCACCATGCCTTGGGGTGGCCCTGGCTAGATTGAGGAGGGCACACCTCCACTCGGCCTAGGAAGCCATGTACAGCCTGAGGCAGGCTGACTACCTTGACCCCCATCATTCTGGACACATCTCTCTGCGTGTCACTGCTGCGTCACTCTGTGGTGTCCTTTGCATCTGTGTCCACAGGGGCCCGGAATCTTCCTCGCAGGAGCCACACCTCATCCATCTGCCCAGTGACTAACCCACAGCTGGTGGGTTCCATGAATGGATGGAAGGGAGGAGAAAAGGGCTTAAACTGTTTTTCTGCCATCCTCTATGTCCCTGGGGACTTCAGAATTGTTCTCTGAACTGGTTGGGAATAAAAGTCTTCTAAAGCATGTGATGGTTACCCAGAGAGCGTGGCCCTTTACCACGGGCTGGCCTGCTGCCCGGGAAGGTCAGGGTGGCCAGACTGCTGTGCAGACTGTGGACTCACAGGTAAAAGGAAGCAAGCTGTGCTTTTGTGTGCATTGGTGGGGCACGCTGTACGCATGGCGGTTGTCCCCAAGACCTGCTGGACCTTCTCTGGGGTATGACCAGCTCCAGCCCCACTGAGGGGCCGGACAAGAGGGGTCAGGAGTCTTGCAAGTCACAGCAGGGCACAGGGACACCACCAAGACCCTGTGCTCAGATTCAGAGATGCTGGCCAGGAGACCCCATTCTAAATCTAGCTTTTTATTATTCTTATTAATTATCAGAGATTTGTTCTATAATCTTGAGAGCATGTTGAAAAAAAAAAGTAAGCTAGCTGATGACATTTATGAAGTCACCCCCTGCTCCGTGCTGTGCCTGTGAGCGAGGTTTAAGAGGAAATGAAAACCATTTTCTGAAATGGAGGTGTAGTAAATTGTGTTAAACCAATAAGACATTAATGTTTGGGCAAATCAGACTCTAACAGCATCTGACTGCAGGCCCAATCAGGCAGTTCGTTTTACCGCTTCACATTATTTAATGTTAGTGGCGTAACCAGCTTGTAGCTGGCTGGCATGGGGCTGGCAGCTGAATCAATTACCTGCAAACACTAATTTAGAGCATGCTCAATTGGCTGTGTAAGCAGGTCCTGGTTCACGTTTGCCACAAGGAGATTAATAACTTGATGTGTTTGACAGCCTGCGACCTTAATTGAAATTACGCTGTCTCTCTATCCAAGCGGTGAATGGGACACTTTGGGCCCTCCTGTGATGGCTTGAGCTGTGGGGTGGGGAGTCATGTAAGTCATTTAAAAGACTGAGGGTCTGTGAGGTGTCATAGGGTCAGCGTGGCCTCGTCCTCCTCCCCTGGCAAACGTTTGACCCTGTCTCAGTCCTGAGACAAGGCCTGGGTTTTTTCCAGACTGTCACAGCAACAGCCCATAATAGTAGCTTCCTGTTTCCTTTCAGTCCTTTGTTAATGGAGAACTTTTCCAGCTGTGCAGCTTTTTTTTATTATTATTAAAGGTTTTACTGCTTTTTCCTGCCCTTTGGGCAGATGGAGTGAGTCACAATTCTGTGTGTTCAGTGTCCCTGTTGTGTCTAGGTGGGGGTGGGGTGGAGACGTGCGC